GGCGCAGGCGATTATCTGCGGGGCCGCTCGGTGTTGTGTGGCCCGCGGGCAGGGCCCGGGTTACAAGCGCCAGGAATCCAGACGGTGTTTGGAGAGGGGGGCGGGGGAGGCCAGTAATTAGTGTGAGCCCTTTGTCTGCCTTTGATACCCGGAGCTTCGCCCCGCCGTGGCTTCCTTCGCCTGGAGCGCGGGCGGGGAGGGGGCGTGGGGGGGCCTTGTCCCCGCAGCCCAGGGCAGGGGAGGGGGACCCTGGGACCCCAAGCCGTGAGGAGTGGTGCTCCCTCCCACCCATCCACAAACTCCTCCCGGGTCCCCCCAGGTCCGGAGAGGCCGAGATGACGCCTCGCCCCGCATTGCTGTTACTGCTGCCGCCGCTGCTACTGGGGGCCCTCCCGCTGGCCGCCGCCGCCCGAGGTGAGTCCTGGCTCCCAGCCCAGCAGCCGGCCTCCGCCAGCGCCGCCCCTTCCCGCCCGGCTCTGAACCCTGCCACAGTGCCCACCTGACAGCTTGTGCCCCGTGCACACCCGTGGGGTACCCAGGGTACCGGGTCCTCACCACCAGTCCACCTGTGGGCCCCCATTGCACACCTGGGGGCACCCTATGTACATCCCTGGTGCCCTCCATGGACACCCCTGTACTTCCACTCAGTGATGGGCCTTTCCCTGCTCACTCTACGAGGCCCTCACCCATTTCTCCTCTTGTTTCTCCCAAAGCTAGAGTAAGCTTCTGAGAGTCTGGGGCGCCCTGTGAGTTTTCTGAGCAATGGGCTCCTTCTGGCCACAGTGGGCCCATGGTGGCCGCTGGAAACCTTCAGAGATTCCTGGTGGGTGACCAGGTGGAGTGGAGGGGACACTAGAGATGCCTCTGTATCCCAGAATCCCATCTCGGGCACCCTCTCCTTCTCCCTCTCCCTCCAGCATGCCCTGCACCTGGCAGACCTACCTAGCAGCCTAAGTGCAGGCAGGGGCTGGGCTCACACATACCCCTGTGGGTCCGGGTCATTGCCAGGGCTGGCTTGGTGTGTGTATGCGGTTGGGGCAAAGGGTTATCTTGAAGCAGACTCCCTCAGAGCATGGACATCGGGGTCACACCCTATGGGCCCCTCTTGGTAGATGTAAGCAGGCCCGTGCAGGTGGGCAGCCCTGGATACCTCCGGGCCCTGCCTTTGAGAGGGGCACCCCGTACCCAGCGCGGCAGTGATGCGAGGCTGGTCGCCTTGGCCGCCATGGTCACTGAGCAGGAGGGCACGGGCTGGCTCCTGGGCAGCTAGGCGGGACCTGCAGCCAGGCCGGCCCTTCAGTCCTGCTGACCATTCAGGATCATCCCTTCCCCCCACCCGGCGGGCACACTTAGCTGACCAGGCCTTATATGGCCACATTCGGGTGTAGGGTGGCGGGCTGCAGCCCAGGTGGGCCTTATGCCACCGTACCCCCGCCTCCACACGCTGGGGACTGGCCGGCTGGTTGGAGGGTGGGGGCTGCCCAGGCAAGGCTGGGCGGCTGTTCTGGCCACGGCGGGCACACAGGCCTTGCTGGGTAAGGCCCCTGGCGGGCAGCGGCCCTGGACTTTGATTCTTCTTTGATCTGCTTTGATTCCCCCAATGCTGCACCTGCCTGTCCCCTGGCCACTAGGTCAGGGAGGCTCTGCAGACCCACTGGCCTGTCCTGGCCACTGGCTCCAAGTCCCATCCAGTAGGGGTTGTGGGTGGTAGGTGGCAGTGGGTCTGCCTCGGGTGCTGAGGGGCCTCTGATGACCCTCCCTCCCATGCCCTTGTCTCCCCCTGGGCCTTGGCCTTGGGGTTGTGTTTGGCTAGCTCAGTGAGCTGCCTTCCAAGGCCTTCCGTGGTTTGCGGGTGGAGAGGGGAGGCAGGACGCACACTCACTTTCCCCCTCCAGGCCCAGCAAGGCCAAGGCATAGCCAGGGAGGGGGCCCTTCAGGATGGTCCTGGGGTCTGGCCCCCTCAAGCAGAGGGTCTGTGTGGCTGAGTGAGCACCGTCTTTGTCTGATAGCCCAATTTCTAGAAACAACACAACTTTACACTCGTATCCCATTAAAAAAAAGAAGAAGAAAAGGTCTCCCTTTCCCCAAAGTTACACAATCTTAGTGGATTTGCTTGAAAGTGTTTTTGAAAAAAAAATTTTTTTCTCCAAATTTGGAAAAAAGGGCAGGATTTGATTGCTCCCATTACCCAGCGGGAGCCGTGAGGAAGGAAATACCATTCCCCAATAATTCCACGAGGCGGGTTTCGGGGGTTTTCCAAGGGGGGCCAGGATGGCTTTCTGGTTCTGCCCGGAGTGGCCATCCCCGGAGGGGCCCAGCCCTGAGCCCAGAGCGCTGGGCGGGTACTTCGGCCAGGCTCCTCCCCTCTGCAGTGTGACATCCCAGGGCTTGAGTGCCCCCCAGGGACCGAATGGCTCCTGGCCCACTGCAGCCTGCTGGTTTCCCGGGGGAGGCTCCAAAGCCATGCATGACAACACAGGGCGAGGGCCTTGGTGGCCTCTGGTGGCAGGGGGCTCCCTCAGGGCTTCTGGGCAGTCCAGTGAGTGGGGCTGTTTATTTGAGGCCAGGCTCAGGTGACAAGAAGGAACCCTGGTGGCACAGTGGGTTGAGCGTGGGGCTTCGCACCCCAAGGTCACACTTGGGACCCACCAGCTGTTCCGTAGGAGAAAGATGAGGCCGACTACTTCTGCAAAGGCCGACCACTTCGGAAACCATGGGGCAGGGCTACTGCGTCCTGTGAAGTTACCACGGCCTTCGTGCCACTGGGGGTTGTGCATTGGGCTGCTAAGCATGAGGTCAGCAGTTCGAAGCCCCCACTGGGGAGAAAAATGAGGCTTTATGGCTATGCTTTGGTCTGGATACCGCAAGGTCAGCAGTTTGAAACCACCAGCTGCTCTCCCGTAACGAATTACAATGTAAAGCGTTACAATGTAAAGAGTTACAATGTAAAGAGTTACAGTCTCAGAAACACACAGGGGCCATGCTGCCCTGTCCCAGGGGGTTGTTACAGCTGGAATTGGCTTGATAGCTGGCAGTGGGTTTTTAGAAAGATTTGCAGCCTCCGAAACCCTGGTGGGTCCGGGTCAGCTCTCTCCTCCCTCCATGGTCACTGGGGTTGCTCAGGAGGCGTGGTGAGTAGTGGTTATGCGTTGGACTAACCACAAGGGGATCTGTTTGAAACCACCTGCCACTCCCTGAGAGGAAGACTCAGCCTTCACTCCCGTGAAGAGTCACCATCTCAGACACCCACAGGGGCCACATAGACCCTGTCCTGCAGAGTTGCTGGGCGTCGGCATCGGGAGTCGGCAGTGAGTGAGCCTTGTCTAAGTGGGAATGGGCTTCCCTGGCAGTAGGTTTTGGAAGGTGGCGAACGCCAGGCCCAGCCGTGTTCTTGACGGGTGGGGGCGCGGTGCCGGGGGTGTGGGGAGAGGTGGGGATGCTGGCCAGCTGCCTCGTTTATGCCTCGGGGGCTCCCACTCCTGGAAGGGAAAATAAATCACCGTCCCCTTGGGAGTAGGGGGGGCACAGGGAACAAAGTCGTCTTTGGCTGGAGCTGAAAACGCCGGCTCCTTTATCCATTGTGAGGCCCCACCAATGGGCCGGGCAGCGCTCTCAAAGCCCCTTTCAGTGCGGCCGCGGCCCGAACCAGGGGAAATGTTGGTTTTTCCCCCCCGCCGCCCGGCCTACAGCCTGGGGCTGGCCCAGGCCCTGGCTCAGGTGCGGGCTCCGCGGCGGCTGGAGGAGGGAGCAGCCTGCTGCCCATGCTGGCGTGGGTTGCTCCAGTGTCAGCACTTGGGGACCCCTGTCCCCAGATTCTCAGAACAGCAGTCCTTCCACGTCTGTTCCCTGCTCTGCCAAACACCCACTGCCATTTGAGGGCATGGCTGCCAGCCTGAATACTCCCAGGTGCAGCTCCAAGGCCCTGGGAGGCCTCGGGGCCTGGAGCTGGGGGCCCCCGGGAGAGGCAGGAAGAACCAGAGGAGGAGGAGGTGGGGCGGGGGTGTATCCAGGTGTCGGGGCAGCGCTGGCAAGGCCAGGGTGGACACTGGGGGACCATGGATGCCTCTGAGACTGGGATATGGGCCATGAGGAGGGACAAGCTGGGGTTCAGGAGGAGGGGCCACCCTGCTTCATTGAGGACTCCTGCAATGGGTTTCCTTGGTCCCTGCACCTCTGCTGAAGGGCCGGGGTGGGGCACTGGCAGCACAGCAGCCTTCTTTGGGGGGTAGCCCAGCCCGTTGGGGTCCCACCCCCCGTCCTGAGGTGGCAGCAGCGGGAGGGATGTCTCTTGGCCCCAAGGGCTTCCCGTCTTGGCAGCAACCACGGTGGCTTTTTGTCCTGCGCGGCCAGCCTGCCGCTCAAGAGGTTGACCCAGTCGCTGTGTCCTGACCAGGGGCTGAGCAATGAGGAGTGAGTGATGGGGAGGCCGAGGTACTAGTGGCTGCTGGGAGGTGGGCCGGGGTGAGGCCAGGGGCCCCACGATCCCTCAGGACTCCTTAGTCCCCAGGCCGGGGGCAGCAGGTGGCCCTGCAGAGTCCTTATGGCTGGTTAGGGTCATGCTACTTCAGGGCTGCCTGGGCCTCAGGGTGACTAGTCTCAGTGACCAACCTATCAGTCCCAGCTGCTGTGGGCACTGCTGATCCCGGGGGGAAGGGGTCTGGGGTCCTGACTTGCAGTGTTCCCCTGCCCAGCTGTTCCCAGGGGTGGCAGTGGGGATAGATGGCCCCTGCGACAGGCCCTAGGAAGCCCCCAGGCCTTTAGGCAGTGACGAGGGGAGAGGCTTTGAAAGCTGAGACTAGGGTTTAGGCCAAGGACAGTGGACAGGGATGGGGTCTGGGTGGCGTGGCGGGGGGAGGACCTGGTGAGATGTGGGAATGATAGGTGGGGTCTGGATGCCCTCTTGGCAATTAGCATTGGTCCTCAGGCTGCCTTGGCCCCCACCCCCACCTGGTTTCTCTCTGTGCCCTCGTGCCCAGGGCAGGGGCATGGAAGAGGTGCCCTCAGGAGAAGGGTCTGCAAAAAGAGCTACCCAGGGCCTCCTGAGGAGGGCTCGACGGGTCCAGCAGGGGTCTCCAAGGCCAATCCCCAGCCTGCGGCCAGCTTGTAGGCATCTGCTGCTGGCCAGCCACTGGGTGGATGCGAGGCCACAAGTAGCTTGCTGTTGCATGGCTGCCTTTCGAGGCGTCCAGAGAGTCCTGGTTTCTGGGGCAACCACCTGTCCTGCGGGTCCTACCAGTTTCACCACTGGCCGAGCAGCCAGGCCCGGGGCAGGCAGGCAGGTGGGCAGGCAGCTGGGGACTTGGAGCCTGTGTGCATTTGCATGTCCGAGTGAGCCCTGCATGAGGGTCTCCAGACCGACAGGGCTCTGTTCCTGACTCCTGAGGAGCAGCTGGACCCTGGAGGACCCTTACCTG